ATCTCAACCCACAGAGAATATTGTGGCACCACTGATTACAGACTGTAACACAGAAATGTGTCTATTTTTCTCTATAATTTTCGATTTAGACACACATGCCGGGTGTATTTATGTATGTAAACAGCCTGTTTCCCCCTCTGTAATTACATCAGACATTGTTGCAGCACATATTTACTTCCACTTCCATTCCCCAGAGCAAGTAAAGCAAGTTTGAAGCATAAAGTAAAGTTGTGATGATTGAACAGAGAATGTGTGTAGTTAGCCATCCATCACACATAAATGCATTTCATCTTAGTGTGGAAAATATGATGGGTTAAGGTCCTTTAATGTATTACACAGAAAAATAAAACATGTTACATTTAACTGGTCTGACTACGTAATAACTCCATTAAAACCCTATGAGGATGAATTACGCCACTATTAATCATTTTTATTGTTTATTGTTTGCTGTTAACGGAATATATATACAAATCAAGTACATTTAATTTGACCAGATTCCATTAAAAGTAACATTTTACATCGTACTTATGAAACAAAATTACATGGAAACTGTACATGTAATTCAATTAGTTCAATTTTTTTTTTAATTGCTGAATTTTTCTGAGTTTACCTTAACTTTTAAACTTGTGCTTTTCCTGAATTTCAACTTGGCTATGAGAATGCTCACTTTACAGAGCATGTGTTGCATACTTTGAACAACTGAATGTTCAACTGAATGTTTGTTGTGTTGCCGGAGAAGCTTTCATCAGGAAACAAACTAAAACGAGGAGCAGCTGAGTTATGTCAGCTTGTGCTGTCCACACTGTGTACATGTACATGTGGATGTGTACCGGGAAGCAGCTAATGAAAGGCATTACAGCTGCACAGATTTATGATTGCATGTAGGTGTAGGCATAAGATTTTCATGGATCTACAGTGACACACTTCATTGTGTAGGGCTCAAAATCTGGCTTTTGCAAATCAAGCTTGATTTTATAAAAAGAAAATTCTGGCCTTGCACATTTTTTCTAGCTTTCCGTCTCTCTGTTTTTCCCCTTAACTAAAAAACAAAACAAAACAAAAACCCGACAAGTCTGCAAATTAAAAGCAGAAGGAAGAAGCTGCCGACAGCCCGGAACCTTCATCTATGCAAGCTTCCACTATGTGTTTGCGAGAGAGAGAAAAATCAATCAATGATAAAATAAAATTTTCAACATTCATAACTTTTCCGTCTATCCCCTGATGGGGGGAAGCTTGCGTTCCTGGTTCGCTCTGCAGTTAGGAACAGCCCCAGTTTTGCTGAATGACCGCATTCAACTTTCAGAGCACTGACCAATAACTTTTCTTCCCTCTTTGACGCGTCAAACAGGCGCACCCACTGTGTAACCCCCTAACACTCTGCTCCGAGTTTAGTCTGGATGGAAAGAGTTGTTGCAGACTAGTGGGAAGTTCAGAACAAGGCCCAGCATAACGGAGCTAAAAAGCTAAGACAGCGGGAGCTGTGACATTATCACCCGGGAGGAGCTGGTGTTTAGACCCAAACGCGGAGGGCTGCGCTTTTTGGTAAGCGATCCACCTTTAAATTCTAAAGGAAAAAACAAAATAAAAACCAAGTCTATGTTTCTTTTCTTTCCAGTGTGCCAATAGTGTGTATGTGGCACTAATTTTATTAGAGACTGACGCTTCGTATTTGCAGGCTGGTTATTTCGTCCAGCTCATAAGTCGTAACGGTTTACTGGGATTGGTATTGAGATGCAGCAGGTTGGAGCTGTTTTGCAATCTGCTTTCAGTACTTCGAGTGCGTACTTTACTCAATCTTAATTCATACTGTCCGCTCGTTATTCTTCTGTATTCTTAACTGAAATTAGTTTAGCATTGGTCGTCTAATTATGAAGGATTGTACTTTTCTTTTCTTCTTCTTAATGCAACTGATTTTACGCACAGCACTTTGCCCATATAATCACGGTCTTATTTTTTTTTTTTTTTTAACATATTTCTTTTTAAATCAGTTACTCTAATACTGTCTTTTAAGTTTTCTTGCCATTATTTTCAATAAATTTACTAAAGGGCTACATCGAATACTCATATTATTTCTAGTCCCCAAAAAGAAAAAAATATGAGTATTTGCCTGTGCTTACTGATTCAGGGTTAGTTTGCTGCCTTATTCTGACCTTGGTGATAATACTAAGTAGCTTATATGTGCATGTCCTTGATAAAGTTGAAACATGGAATCATGAATTGTTCCCAAAACAGTGTATGTCAAACAGTATTGTTGCATTTTGTTTACAGTGAGTTACAAAGGATTCTTTCTGCCTGACGGGTGAAGCGTCTCACTGTCCAGTTGTTGATTTAAATGATGTTGACATAATGTTCCATGCTTTCTCATGACACACCCAGATCTAACTTCAACACAGGAACTAATTGACCGGAAAGGAGAGACAAGGCAGATATCTGGTTCTTCTATGATAACTTCCTGGCAAAGTCACAAAGAATTTGAGGTGAGAACATGTGTTGAAAGCTGAATGCTTTGCTTGCAGGTCAACTTACAGGAATTCATCCCATTATGATTTTTTTCCCCTCACAGATATATTCAGCAGACAAGTTCCAGCCGTGCCATCCCTGCAGCCATGAATGATTCCATTGATGACTATAACTACACATACAGTTACGACCTAGATTATGGCGACATTGACGATATTAGGGTTGAGCACAGTCAGACAGAACCTATGCACATTTTCTCTGTAGTTATCTACATAATCTCTTTCATGCTTGGTGTGATCGGCAATGGAGCTGTTATTTGGGTGATGGCATTTAAATGCAAAAAGAGAGTCAACAGCGTGTGGTTGCTCAATCTTGCCATAGCCGATTTTGTATTTGTGCTCTTCCTGCCGTTCTTCATTGATTACATTATGCGGGACTTCCACTGGGAGTTCGGTGTGGCTATGTGTAAGATTAACTCCTTTGTGTCCGTGATGAACATGTATGCCAGTGTGCTGTTTCTCACAGTGCTCAGTATAGATAGGTACGTTTCTGTCGTCCATCTTAACTGGTGTCAGAAGTATCGCACCGTAAACCGAGCTTGGTTCGCATGTGGTTGCATCTGGGGGCTAGCCGCCACCTTGAGCAGTCCCGCTCTAATCTTTCGTGACACGATGATCTTGGGCGACAAGGTGGTGTGCTTCAACAACTTCCACACACACGACCCTCATATAGCGGCCATGAGACACATCACGATAGTGATTATCCGCACCACTGTGGGCTTTCTTTTGCCACTGACTGCTATAAGCGTGACGGGTATACTTCTGATAGTGAAAATGAAACAATCTGGGAGTTCAGTTCAGTTGTCTAGCTTCTCCAAAACAGTCACAGCAGTAATCCTCGCCTTCTTTTTGTGCTGGACACCTTTTCATACTTTCAGCCTGATGGAGTTAACCATACATTCCTCACCTTACTTACACAATTTACTGAAAACTGGCTTTCCTCTCGCCACTAGCTTGGGCTTTTTTAACAGTTGTGTAAATCCCCTGCTGTACATGTTCCTGACTAAAAAAGTGCGCAATATCATCAAGCAAGCCTGTCTGGACATAACCAAGAATTCACTTAGAGAGTTCAGCCAGTCGATCTCTGCCACTGAGATCGAATCTGTGGCAGGAGCTTATGAGAATGGTGTTCACGGTGAGCACGTGGCATCATCAACAATCTGATTGTTACTATCCCCAGACTTGTGAAGCTCTCCATTTAAAAAAAGAAGAAGTGGTTAAGTATTACTTTAGCAGAAATGTAGAGGGTTATTAGAGTTGTTAAGATTTTTCCTATGTTTTATTTGGGCAGAGTCACGCCAACTTCAACTGACAATTACTCTTCATGGATAATGGAAAATGGAACATAAACACAGATTCAATATCTTTCCATCTACTTTGCATAAACCTAGATATCTGTAGAGAAACTGGCTAGATGAAATCAAAACCATTAAGATGATCAACAGAAAATCTATCTGCAATTATTTTGGTTTCTAATCATTCAAATAAATTGCAAAACAAACACGCCAGGAAGCCCCTGCTTGAAGATTTTAATGGTCATGCACGAGTTACCGACTGGTAAAACGTCTGCGTGATGGTTGGACTGCTCCTTACAATAATCAAGTAATTTCAACATGCCTCCTTGGCCAGTGGAAAACGGTGATGGATGACTGCTATTAATATTTTACAACATAAATCATGAAATATTAGACCTTGCAACTATAACTACACATATTTATGTGACATTTAGCCACTTTGTCTGTATTTCAAACTTTTGAATCAAGCCATCTTGTAAGTACTGCTTTGGTTCTTATGGATGACAAAAATAGTCCTTTTTGACTGTAGTCTCCATTGCAACATAGCATTATTTTGGTTTTATATTGCCGTATCAGCTGCTAGAATAATGTATTGATGTATCTTACAGATGTTTATGCTGGTTAAAAACTGTATGAACATGTTTATTCTAATATATTTTAAAGATATATATCTTAATAAATCTGTTCTTCTGAACTGTGCTTTAAGTGTCTTCTTTTATGTGATTTGATAAGAACTAAGAGAAGAATTTGATGTTTTATGTACACTCAGACAAGATTTTCTGCAGTCCTACAAAGTTTGCACGCCATCAACAAAGGTCCAGACATGCATTCACTATTCATTTCCCCGAGGGTCTGCTTACAAATTTAGCCATTCCTGTTTTTTCTTCTTTCTTTTTTTTTCCATTTGGGGTGAACTCTGATTTGTATTACATCACTGTTACCACCCTGACTGGAAGGATGCTGTTTTATATCTGTGGGAATATAAGGACAGGAAGCTAACAATTCTTTCAATCTTTTCCAATCGATTTCACTTCAATTGCAGACGACCTTTGACCCCAAAGATACTTTCTTTACTCTACATAAATGTGCTCATCCATATGTATGTATAATACCGAGACTAGACCTTAGGGGTTGGTTAGGGAGGGGGGAAAAAGACTGTTATTGTCACTGAGCCACATCAGAGACAAACAGCTGAAGATAAGATGGATATCTGCTAAGGAGAGGTTTACATCACTTCGTACTGTTGTTGAATTTTTATACTATTATCTCAGACACTGTTTAGTGGCCCTGCTGTTTGGATTACAGGATTACTTAATCCGTGACGCAGCAGAATGGACGGTGCGCAATCTGCGGCGCAGGCGATCTCCTGAGGACAGACATAGGCAAGGTAAGTAACCGGTCACAACAAACAATTAAAAAAATAAAAATCATTAGCATTGAATACAGTGACATTATTAGCTTGCAGGGCTTTAGTTTGCGGTTGTTACGTTTACGTGTTTGTAGCGGACCGCGTGACGTCTGATTGAATGCAACAATCAGATGCACAATAATTTAATTTAACGTCATAAAAATGTTAAAATAACGCCTCGTGCGGCATCACTGTCTAATAATACGAGGCTAAGTTTCACGAGCTAACACCGTTATTATTGTTAGCCTGGGAGACATTTAACCAGCGCAACGTTAATTGTAGGTGCCGCATTTCGAAACATTTCCAACATTTTCTGGGCTTCCAGAATATTAAGTGTTTAATTGCACATGTGAGGTTTCTTATAGTCTCTATTCGTGTTGTTTTCAAATGTGGCGCACCAGCTAGCTAGCTTACTTCTGTTTTTGTTTTGGAAGCGGCATGAGTGCTAATTTAGCAGAGGTTTATAGGTCAGACATCCGCATTACACATCTAAAAGCGTTGCGGTAACCTGTGAAGTCTTTCAGTGGAGCTAACAGTACACCTTACACCTGATGTCGTGTTTCTGCCTCTCCTCCAGCATGTTGCGTTTGCCTGTTGCGACCCGCAGTCTCTTTCCAGCAGCTATTAGCAAAGGAGGCAAGGCTGTGACTCACAATGGTAACATTTTTTTGAATTCTTTTATTTTTATCAAGTTTAAGGACATCATTGTATTTGTATCGCTTCATAGTTAAACTGTTTGCTTGCCACCCTTGTTACTTTCGCCATTAATGGATTATAGGCTGGATTATAGAGCTCCCAGGTACCAAATTTGGTGCCGGGCTGTTGTTGGCACAGTTTAACCAAAGACTGTCATAATGAATTTGTTGTAGCACGAAATGATACATATATTAAATGATGCAATGTGTATATTATGGGAATTGGGAATAATAATTGGGAATAATGTATTATATGGGAATATTGTGCAGTAAAATGTTCTGTGTGTGCCTGAAGTTCGCCCTGCATCCACTGCAACAGCAGCAGCAGCCAGTAACCTCCTGGAGGTGTTTGTGGATGGGAAGCCTGTTATGGTGGAGCCAGGAACAACTGTGTTGCAGGTAATGGCTAAACTTTAAGATATGCAATGCCGTGAAAACGTATTGCATATTTTTCACACTTACATGTTTCATATTGTCCAACAATTTTTAATAGACAAAGGTAACCTGAGTAAATAGAAAATGCAGTGTTTAATTGTCACTCACACTAACACAGGGATTAGAGCTGTTAATTCATAAATTAACTGTGATTAACCACATGTTTTGGAAAACCGAGCTCAGTTTCTTTAGCCACACCCAGGCCTGATGACTGTAAGACTTGTTTAGTTAAAGAATCATTTAAATAGACAAAGTACTGCAGGCTTAAGGATCTCAAAATGCAACACATCATACTACAGCTCAATAAACAGCTGAGAAACAAAATCACTGACATCAATCAGTCTTGAAAGTGTTACAAAGCCTTTCCCTCATATTACGTTTGCCAAAAAATATCTTGATGATCCCCAAGATCATGCATCCTGTTACATCTGCTGTACAAATAATAGCACTTTAAAAAAAAAAAAAACAAACAAAACATCACACTGGCATTTAGACATGGTAGTGGTAGTGTCCTGTTCTGGGGCTGCTTTGCTGTTTCACAATCTGGACGACTTGCTGTCATTGATGGAAGCATGAATTCTGCTCTCTACCAGAACATTTTGAGGAGAAAGTCCAGTCATCACATTGTACCCTGAGGTTCATGCACACTTGGGTTATACAACAGGACAAACCTTCAATCCACTGTTGTGTGGCTGAAAAACAAAACAAAATGAAGTTTCTGAAGTGGCCTAGTCAAAAGTCTTGCTTTAAATCTGATAGAAATGCTTTGGCATGGGTTTCCTCGAACATGGCTGAATAAAAACAATTCTGCTAAGAAGAGTGGGCCAAAATTCCTCCACAGTGATGTGAGAGACTCATTGCTAGTTATTACAAATGCTTGCTGCGAAAGGTGACGTAACCGATAGAGGCCAGGTTGGTTTGGATAGCCTTTGCCCCTTGATAAATGAAATGATCAACTGGAGAACACATTTTCTATTTACTCGGGTCATGTTTGTCTAATATTAAAATTTGAAACATACAAGTGTGACAAATATGCAAAAAAATCAGGAAAGTGGCAGATACTTTTTCACAGCACTGTACGAGTATTCAGTATAACCCTGCAGTTGTTTTCTGTCACAGGCGTGTGAGAAGGCAGGCATGCAGATTCCCCGCTTCTGCTACCACGAGCGCTTGTCAGTTGCTGGAAACTGCCGCATGTGTCTTGTGGAGATAGAAAAAGTTCCTAAGGTACTTTTTTTTTTATTTTTTATGATTCCTGTGTGTTATGTTTCAACTCTAGAAAGCCACAAATGTCTCTTTGTGTTTTGTTTCTCTGCCCAGTCTTGCAGAGATAAAAGTATGCCTACTTTAATTAACATGTCATCTTTTTTCATTTATTATCTAGCCGGTGGCAGCTTGTGCTATGCCTGTCATGAAAGGCTGGAACATTTTAACCAATTCTGACAAGACACGGAGGGCCAGGTACCTTCAACCTGTTAATTAAACGTCACTTATCTGTTTTGTAAAGTTTACGGTGAAATTTGGTCACTTTTATTTGTTGTTCTTTATCTTTGTTGGACATGAAAGTAATCTTTTACTTAAAAATTTCACAGAGAGGGGGTGATGGAGTTCCTACTGGCTAACCACCCATTAGATTGTCCTATTTGTGATCAAGGAGGTGAATGTGACCTACAGGTAAATTGTAGATGATCACCACCACTCTAGATCTGCTCATTATAGTCTTGATTGTGTGTAAAACAGATATTATGGGGTTTTGAATTTAGAAATTATTGATCAATTACTAAAACTGAGTGAAATCTCGTGTAAAGGATCAGTCCATGCAGTTTGGCAGCGACAGAAGCCGCTTCACAGAGGGCAAAAGAGCCGTGGAAGATAAAAACATTGGCCCCCTCATCAAAACTATTATGACTCGCTGCATTCAGTGCACTCGTTGTGTGCGGTGAGTCATGCTTTAATATTTAAACAAGTCGAGTTGCCGTGTTCATGTGAAATATTAAAATGCATATATTCTTTTCCTCTTTTAGCTTTGCCAGTGAGATTGCAGGCGTGGAAGAGCTGGGCACCACTGGCAGAGGCAACGATCTGCAGATTGGGACTTACGTGGAAAAGATGTTCATGTCAGAATTATCTGGGAATATTATTGATATATGCCCAGTGGGAGCCCTGACCTCTAAACCGTATGCTTTCACTGCCCGCCCATGGGAGACCAGGTTTTTAGATTATGCTCTACATCTTGTCTAGCTATTTAGGGTTTCAACTAATTATTTTGAGACTTATGTATTCTCTCTTTTTTTGTTGTTGTTGGTTGTTTTTATTTTTTTTGCAGGAAGACTGAATCGATTGACGTACTTGATGCTGTGGGTAGTAACATCGTTGTGAGCACTCGCGGCGGCGAGGTGATGAGGATTCTGCCTCGCCTTCATGAAGATATTAACGAGGAATGGATCTCAGACAAAACCAGGTTCATTTCAGATCACCCAAACTTTGCATCATAGACATAGACTTGTGCTTGGTGTTTACATTATTGCTGAACTGCTTTTTGCTCGAACTTGGCAGGTTTGCTTATGATGGGCTTAAGAGACAGAGGCTTACTCAGCCAATGGTGAAAAATGAGTCTGGGCAGTTGGTTCCCACATCCTGGGAAGACGCGCTGACTCGAGTTGCTGGAGCAGTATGAAATTCTTAATTGAATTACAGTAACTAAGCTCATCAAAACATTGGATAGCAATTTAAAACACTGATTCAGAATACCTGAATAACATCCGTTTTTGTTTGACAGTTGCAAGGAGTTGAAGGAAAGGACATTGCTGCTGTTGCTGGAGGTTTGGTCGATGCTGAGGCTCTCATTTCCCTGAAAGACTTGCTGAACCATTTGAATAGTGACAACCTGTGCACTGAGGAGACGTTCCCCATGGCTGGAGCAGGGTAAAAAAAATACCAGAAATGAAAATTGAAGCCATTGATGCACACACGTCCAACTCTTTTACTAACTGACTTTTCTAGATCTGACCTGCGTTCAAACTATCTTCTGAACACTGGAATTGCTGGGATTGAAGAAGCTGACCTGCTACTTTTAGTTGGCACTAATCCACGGTATGAGGCTCCATTGTATAATGCACGGGTCAGAAAAGGGTAAGTAAATCATGGCTGTTTAACAGTGGGGAAACTGTAAATCTGACAACATAAGTCTGTTCTTCTGTATAAACATTGGTGTCTCTGCTATAGCTGGCTGCACAATGAGTTACATGTGGCTCTGGTGGGAAAGGAGGTGGACCTTAGTTACACATATGAGCATCTTGGTGAATCAGCCAAGATCCTTGAAGAAATTGCTTCAGGAACTCACCCATTCTTCCAGGTAACACTGACCTTTCTTTTCTTTGAATGTCATCAATCAACTTGAATGTCTCTTACTATTTTTGTGTGTTTTATTCTCTGTTGCAGGTCTTAGCCAAAGCAAAGCATCCTGCTGTTGTAGTTGGCAGCGGTTGCCTGCAGAGAGAGGATGGGGCTGCGATAATGGCTGCTGTGTCAACCATTGCCCACAATGCTCGTGTCAGCAGTGGAGTGGAGGAAACCTGGAAGGTTCTCAATGTGCTTCACAGGTCAAATGCTTGGAAAAATTCTTAGCAAAGTTTTAAATAACAATACCATGTTGAAAAGGAATGTTTACTGTAATGATTTACCTTTGTCCTCATCTTATCAGGGTTGCCAGTCAAGTAGCTGCACTTGATCTGGGGTACAAGCCAGGAGTGGATGCTATCAGGAAGAACCCACCCAAAGTTCTGTTCCTACTTGGAGCTGATGCTGGCTCCATCACTCGCCAAGATCTCCCTAAGAATAGCTTGATAATTTATCAAGGTCAGCTTTTTGCAAAACCTTAAAATTCCGGGTCACTGTGGAGTCATGCAAACACTGGCACAGAAAAGCAAAAATTGAACCCGTGACCTTTTCTCACTGTGCAGGTGTTTTTCTCACGACATAGTCTGCCGTGTTCCCACAGTTCAAAGGCATGCATATCAGGTTACTCTGTGATTTAAAGTTTGCCCTTGCTGTGAATGTAAGCGTAAATGGTTGTGGGTTTTTCTGTGTTAGTCTTGTGATAGACTGGCAAACTCTCCAGGGTGCACGTTGCCTCTCGCACCATGGCAGCTGGGCTAAGCTCCAGCACAACTCTGGATTGGATAAGGGTTAAGAAAACAGGTGGATGTATGAATAAAAAAATGATCTTCTTTATATACAGGTGTGACAGAAAACGAAATTATTTAAAGACATTTAAATGGCTTAAGTGCCCAAATGGTATCTCTACAACATCCTTCACTCTTTATCTACCCCTCATATTTTTCATATGTTGCTAGAAAAATGGGAATTGGGTGCAAAAATGCATGGATATGCAGTATTTAAGGGAAACAATATAACCAACTTTATTCTTCCACACAGCCTGAACTCTCTTAGGCAAGCTTTCTTGTAATTTCTTCAGGTATAGTTCAGGAATAGTTCTCCAGGCTTCTTGAAGGACATTCAAACCTCTTTTTTTGGCTGTCGGCTGCCTTTTTGTTGTGTTCTCGGTCTAGCTGATCTCAGACTCCTTTAATATTGCTGAGGTCTGGGCTCCATCTGTTTTACAGATGGCTATAGACACTCACTGTTGTACCTCTCTCATAACCTCCTCCATACATATTGATGGCAGTTCGAACCAAAATTTCAAGTCATTGCTCCTTAAGGCCTGTTGGCACTTAGTTTCGGTGCAGTTCTTGTGTAATTTGACATACCTCAGCCTCTTCTTCCAGTTTCCCTTAAAAATTTTCCTTAAAAATGACAGTCAGCCTTCCACAGAGACCATTTCTGATGAGGCTTGAATCAGAAGGCCTGGAGAACTGTTGCTCAATTCCACGTTAAAAATGACAAAGTCTGTTTAACTAGAAGCAGTTCAAGACTTGCACAATCAAATGAGGGCACGTTTGGAAAAATAGTGGTAACCATTCCCTTAGGGACTTGAAGAATACATGCTGGGGAACAATAAGTTTGTTTTTATTTAATTCCAGTTTTCTATTTTGTAATGCCCAGGTCACCATGGCGATGTCAGTGCACCAATGGCTGATATCATCCTTCCCGGAGCTGCATACACTGAGAAATGTGGCACGTATGTGAACACTGAAGGTCGTGCCCAGCAGACCAAGGTGGCAGTGACTCCTCCAGGCGCAGCCAGAGAGGACTGGAAGATCATCAGAGTCGTATCTGAGGTGAACCAGAGCACAGCATAAACATGCAAGGCTTAGGGAAATAAAATGTGACTAAATGCTCTGTGTTGTTTTCATAC